TTAGAATTTGCTGGACCACACACAGAGGTTGACTTTAGAACTTGAGAAAAGACTAATCAAAACAGGACTTCCAGTCACACCTGTGTGTTGCTAGATCAGGACACTGGGGTTCCCCACAGAAGCATAATCTCATAGTGTCTAAACCTCTGGGGCCCAAGGAATTTCTAGCCCAAAGGAACTAAGACTTAGGAAGGGGCAGGGACACCAAGATATCTGAGGGACAGTAACATGAACTCCTTACCCAAGAGAATGTGTGGTGGAGATATCACATCATTTAAACAACTTAAAGGCTGAGGGTAGAAGAGATAGAATTTGGTTCTTCCAAACAGCTGGATTCCAATTACTGTACACAAGTGTGGTGGTTTGCATAAGAATGGCCTCCATAGGCTCATATTTGCTTAGAGAGTAACATTTGGAGGCTTGACCCTGGTGGAGGAAGTGTGTCACTGGGGGTAAGCTTTGTGGTTTCAAATGCCCAGGCCCAGTGCTGTCTCCCCACTGGTGCCTGTCCATCTGGATGTAGAAGTCTCAGCTACCTCTCCAACACCATGCATGCCTGTGGGCTACAACGCTGCACACCATGATGATAATGAACTAAACCTCTGAAACTGTAAGCCAGCCCCAATTAAATGTTATCTTTTATAATTGTTACTTTGGTCATGGTATCTCTTCACAGCAATAAACCCTAACTAAGACAGTAAGTCACAGGCTGTTGGATTTTAATGCAACATAAAATGACTCTTTGGGACTCCAGAGTGCTAAGTGTCTCATTCACATTCACCCAGAATAATTTCTGAACACCTACTATGTAATTCACACACCAGAATGAATCACTTGCAAACTTAGCCCTGAAAAGCACTCAGTGCTAGATGGTAGATGTGACTACCAGTCACTTAAGACAGAGGCAGCAAGCAACAATATTAGGTGATAGGACCAGGCCTGGGGAGAAAGGGATAGCTTCAAACTGCAGCTGGGCTATCCAAAACACTCACTAGTCATTTTGCTTCTTCTCAGTCACTCTGTCCAATACTGTGCATGTCTATATTGAACCTAATATGAACCATGATTGGTGGTGATATGACTAAATGAGATCTTTTGTCATGTCCTGATGAGAAATGACAAAGGTATGACATAGCCACCTCAGTCTTAAACTCTTGGCAGCTTTTATTAACTGCACAGGCCCACCAACATTCCTTAAGGAGAATGGAGAGGCTCATGATACACACATCCACATACCAAAGGACTTACAGTCGCTGGAACAAGGGAGTAAGTAGAAAGGGGTCATGAGGCAATTAATGGTTGCTAGGGAAAAGATAGACATTTTTTCCAGTGGTGTAGCCACTAGTTGGTTGTCCATGTTAATTAGTAAACCTAATTAAACTCATTGGAATCAGCAGAGTGGGAGAAAAAAAATAGAGGTCTAATATTATCCAAATAAATTATCTACATGTTAGAATTAACCTATTATTTTTTTATATTTAAAGATGTCTGTGTTTAGTTCATTTTCTGATGACATTGGGACAGGATGAAATAATATTCAGGTTCACAGAAATCACGAAATACTGTGAACAAAGCAAAACTTTGCCTTGATCATCATCATCAAGACTTTTTCCAAGTCTGCCTCATATTTAGGATGATTCAACCACCTTATAAGAATGACAAATCCCAGAAAAGCTCATTTGATTTTTTTATTATTAATATCTAAATTTAAACTGGAAAAAAAGAAAGTTATTTGAATGCATGTTAAACATTAATGTAATTTTTGAAAGGTTATATCTGATTTTTTTTACCAAAATAAATCTGGAGAAAAAAAAAGAAAATGGACATAGATACTCATAGGAAAAAAAGAGAACAACAATAGAATTAACCTATTATATACAATTAATATGTTCTAATAAAAGAAATCATACAAAAGACACAGAGAGTATATATATCAGGTGGTGACAGATACTAGAGACAAAGATGACTACTCTGAATTCTTATATCACCTTTAACAACCCAACAGACCCTTTCTTTCAACTGAAATGATCTCTCACTTCACCGGGAACTGTCCTCAATGCCAGTTCAGTACTTAGCAACTACCATCATCTCTCTCCATCCTGACCCAAATCAGTTTGACCTCCCACCCACCCTCACTTCCCTCACTTCTCCCTCTGGGACCTTGCTCTATCAGCCATGCCAAGGCCCTTCTGCTCTCCACCTTTGCTCTGGTCATTCAGTAGCTTCCATTCCATTCATAGACATTTGCTTTCTCATAACTCTAAAGCTTTTGGATATTTCCAAATGTTAATAGGCAAGACCTCACCTGAATTCATCCCAGTCCACGTATGGAGTCATGTGACTACATTAATTACTTCTTTGTAACAAATACCTGATGAGAAGTAGCATAAGGAAGGAGGGATAATTTTGAGTCAGGATTGAGGTTACAGCCCACCACGGTGGAGAAGACATGCCGACAGGAGGGACTTGGAGCAGACCGGGGCTTGAGTATCAGTAGACCAAAAGGCAGTGAAGGGGGAGTGCCAGCATTCAACTGCCTATGTTCATTTTCCTTTGGAAGAGTAGGCAGTGCTCTTAACCACTGAGCTGTCTCTCCAGCCCTGTTGGTAGTTCTTAATCCAATGAAACTTACAACTAAAATTGAGCAGTGGGGGTCCTTGAGTCTTGGGCAATCCTATACCACCTAACCCACGTGTGTAATCTTTGTTGCCAGATAGCTTAGAAGCATACATTTCACTGCTTGCCTATACTGCTGCTTCCCCTCTATTACCTGACCTGCCTCACCTCACACCATGCTTCACACAGTTTAGGATGACCAAACAAAGATTGCCCAATAATCCTCCATTTGCCAGTAAAACAGCTTGCTTTCACTGGATTCAAATTCTTAGTGGTCTTAAGTGTTGATGTTCCTAAGATATGTTCCAAGACCTCTGCTCACCTTTGTTATTTCTTAAGTCTAAATACAGCTTGTATTGTGGGAATTTCATCATTTCAAACACTGGTGAGATGAGGAAAGCTTGAGATACTATGACCCCTACATTATCTGCATGGGATAAAGCTTCATGGAGCTATGCTCATGCATAGCATGCACACAGAGACCAGTGGAATCTGATAAGTTCTGTGGATTATGGCGATGTAAAGATCTTGCTTTCAACACTGTGAATATAAAATGCATGCATTAGAGGAGTCTGGACAAGGGCTTGGGGGAAGTCACTGTACCTATCTTTGCAACTCCTTCCCAGAAAATCTATATTTCAAGATCACAATTAAGACCTAAAGTAGATACATGTTTTTAAAAAGTAAACACAGCAAGAAAAACCTTTGTGACCCTCCACTTTTCACAAGACAGAAATACAAATCCATTTGCTCTACACTCAAGACTGCAAAGAGCCACACAGAACCTTTGCAGTCTGTGCCCAGTCCCTCTCCCTTAGACCTCACACCCATTATTAGATGGCTACTGACAGCCCACAATGGACAGAATCATTAAAAATACAGCAGTAACCAAAGAGATAAGGTGCCTGCCCTCAGAAACTTGGAACAGCCAGCTAAGCAATAGCTGACAGGCTGGCCATCCCCCTCCCCCCCTTCCATTCTGTTCCGCTCCCTTTGCTCAATGTGCACTTTCCTGCAATTGTGATCCTGCACTCCCCCATGCTATCAAATAATTCAACCATAAACAAGCATTCCCCAAGCACCCCCCCTGTGCTCTGCTGCAGCTGTACTGGGGCCACAGCTGTGAACCACAAGGCAAGGCCTCTGCCCCAGGAGTCTCACATTAGTGAAAGACAGGTGATCCACAGCCAGATAGGAAAACACAAAAGGACAAGACTTAAGAGAACAATCCAGGGAGTGGATCAGGCTAGTGGGCCAAGCAAGCATTCCTCCAAGCAGGTGTCATCTAAACTCAAACCAAGGTGGCAAGAAAGGACATGAGACATAGAGGAGAAAGTGGGTTCCAAGGCTTCGAAGGGAAATGTTGGACCTGGTGAGGGGGTGGGGGGTTAGTGCAGGGAGGCAGAGGAGGAGGAAGAGGTAATAACAGTGGAGAAAAATCGGAAAGGTGGGCAAGAGATGGTCACAAAGGGGAATCAGGACAGCATGGATGCTGCTTGGATTTAGCCGCAGACTGTGGAGGGACCTGAGCAGGACAGCACCGCCACATCCATCAGAGACAAGTCTGCCACTGTGCAGAACATGACTGGGGTGGGGAAGGAAGAGTCAAAAACAAGCTAGAGTCCAGAGAGTCCGGAGCTTCTAAAGAGACTCCATGCAGCCTTGTTCTCATGGCTGACGTCTCACTTGCCCCACAGTTAGGACGTCTGGTTTATGTCTTGCTTTCCTGACTGGACAGGTGCTGACAGAGCAGAGGGACCGAGTGTTATTCCTTCATGCCTACCAAGCTCAGTCATTTCTTAAAGTAATCGCTCATGTCCAGCTTGGGGAGAAAGGAATGCAGATCCAGAAGGTCCTAGAAAATAAATGACGTTGAGGTATACCACTAAGGATGGGGAAATTAGCCACACGGGACTCTGGAGGATGGAGAGGGCAGCATGTTGAAAGGGAAAAGCAATGGGGAACAATGGGTAAGCGGGTGAGTGCAGCAAAGCTGGAATCAGCTGGGGCGACTAGAAAGCTGGATTGAGGCAAGAGTAAGGCATTTTCTTACGAGGTTTTATCTGAGGACAGAAGGGAGCTGCTAAGTGTTTTTGAGCAGAGGAATGAGAGAATTTTGAATTCGGTAAGAAACTTAAACTGAAGCTGCTCGAATCCAGAGGGAGGAGAAGCAGGAAAGGTAAGAATGAGCACACAATGCAAGGCAAAAGGAAGACCAGCCTCTGGTCTTCCCGGAAGCAAGGCATGACCTCTGAGAGTCTGCACACACACCATCACAGGATGTGTGTCTGTGAACTGACAGCAGCTATTGAGATCGCCCCAACTTGGACCTGCCCCGGTGTCTGCTATGACAACTGAGTGTTTAAGATTGTACGGTAACTTACGGCTGCGGAGTCTACGACGTCTGAGGGGGGCACTGGCATCAGGGGAGCAGCACACAGCACAAAGAAAGCTAGCAAACCCTCTGGCGCTTTCATAAATAAGAGCCCTAATCCTCTCGGAAAGGCTTCAGCTGTTTAAAGTACCTGCTTGTCATTAAACTGTAGCACCTGCGTTTGGCAGGACACGCCATCATCGTTTAAGTCATAGCATTTCTGAAAGCGGTGTTGGGTTGACGAAGATGGTTCCAAACAAAGTGTGCACCGTCCTGAACCTGAGCAAATTGAAAGAGACAGACATTAGCGAAAGGCAGACCTGGCTATGAACAGATATCTGTGTTCCATTTGCATCTTCTCTTGGTTTCTAGTTACAGTGATTCCCAGCTCCTACCCCTGAGTCGGGTCACCTGATGCACTGGGTAATTTTTCCATGAATATGTTCCGCTGTTTCACTCCCTGCTGTGACTGTTGTACCTTCTTCATCAGAGGCAACTCTCTCCCACAATGCTTGACGCGATGAAAGGAGAACAGAACTGTGGCTTGGATTCCTCTCAACCTCCAGCCCATCAACATCTATGCCTCCCCTTGTCCATTCATGCTTCCTGAGCCTCAAAAAAAAAAAAAAAAGAGACTGATTGCTAATATGCAGTAGACCATTCTTATTTGTAACATGCAGACATGCTTTTTAATATAATTCAGTTCACACAGAAAGTCTATAAAATAGATGAAATTACCATTCCCATTAAACATGACAAAGCCCGTAGGCAGCTTAGACACATACCTGTGGTAGCACAGCCCAGAGCCTAGATTTGACCCAGATCAGTGACCCTAAACACAAGTCATCAATATTGCTGAGTGTTTCTATAGCCGTTCATTTAAAATTAGTTCTGTATAAATCACTATAGCATCATCTGTCATTTCCTGTCACACCATCTCTTTCTTGTCCTTACCTTCCTATGACATGACCAGTACCCGAAACTGATATGCACTCTTCTACACATTTTTAACCTTTTACCACACAAAACTATACAGTTTTTAAAACTCACATGGTGTGACACCAAGTGTATCCATTTGAATGTAGCCAAAATCAATTTGACATAATTATTTTAGAAATATTTTATTTTAGGAAAATATTACATGAATGGATGTGTTGGTCTTTTCTGGTGCCTTGTTAATTCAATATGTGTCCTAGTACCCTGATAGATGTGTCGTGCAAAGAACATTAAGATACAGACTTAAAAATAGTATTTCTCAGTGTTGAGGGTTTTGTTGTTATTTGTTTTGTTTTCTGAGACAGGATCTTGTATACAAGACTGGGTTTGAACTTGCTATGTAGCTGACAAGGCCTTCCAACTCCCGATCCTGCTGTTTTGGCCTCCTATGTGTGGAAGTAGCAGCCATACACCACCATGCCTCGCCTGGGCTTTCATTTTGAAGGCAGCAGCTTTCATCTGTGTGTAATTCTAATTTGCTGCAGTATCCTTCAAAGTGGCAGTGTCACCCTGCAGTCTCATTCTCAATGTCAGAAGTAACAACAATGGACTCTGGATGGTGACATATGAGTGTGATGCGGCATCCATTCTCCTGTACTTAGCTATACCTTTGAAATATTTCATAATTAAAATGTTACTTAAAGTGTTACAACTTTTGCTTCCTGCTGTCAGTGGCTTGAATTAAGATTTAGAAAGGAGAAAGTTCTGTGAAAACAAGATGTCCAGATTAAAATAACCGCAACATTTTCTCTATCCACTCTTCAGTTGAGGGGCATCTAGGTTGCTTCCAGGTTATTACAAACAATGCTGCTATGAACATAGTGGAGCAGATGCCCTTGTTGTATGAACCTGCCTCATTTGGATAAATGCCTAAGAGTGGAATTGCTGGGTCTAGTGGTAGATTAATTCCCATTTTCCTGAGGAATCTCCATACTGATTTCCAAAGAGGCTGTATGAGTCGGCATTCCCACCAGCAGTGGAGGAGTGTTCCTCTCTCTCCACATCCTCTCCAGCATAAATTGTCTTTGGTGTTTTTGATTCTAGCCATTCTGACAGGAGTAAGATGGTATCTCAGCCTTGGACAGCAGATCAGTACCCATCCCAAGTATACACACGGTCTCTGGACTCCCATAGAACAATGTGAGGTGCACTCTCACCCTGAACTCTTGGGGAAGGGTCTAGGCCCTGCCCTATATGAAATGACAGACTATGGACACCCCCATGGAGGGCCTCACCCTCCCTGGGGGAATGAGGGGATAACGGGGGGGGGATGGGGGGGAGGGCACGGGAGGAGGGGAGGGAAAGGGAGAGGGACCTCGTACTGACTTGTGAAGCAACCTTGTTTCTTATCTAAATTTAAAATGGAAAATAAAAAAAATATTAATAAAAAAAAAGATGGTATCTCAGAGTTGTTTTGATTTGCATTTCCCTGCTGGCTAAGGATGTTGAGCACTTTCTTAAGTGTCTCTTGGCCATTTTAGCCTCCTCTACTGAGAATTCTCTATTTAGCTCTGTACCCCACCTTTCAAGTGGATCCTTTGGTGTTTTGGAGACTTGTTTCTTGAGTTCTTTGTAAATTTTGGAGATTAACCCTCTGACAGATGTAGGGTTAGTGAATATCTTTTCCCATTCTGTGGCCTGCCTTTTTGTCTTTTTGACTGTGTCCTTTGCCTTACATTTACACAATGGAGTATTACTCAGCAGAAAAAAACAATGGAATCTTGAAATTTGCAGGGAAATGGATAGCACTGGAAGAAACCATCCTGAGTGAGGTAACCCAGTCGCAAAAAGACAAACATGGTATGTATTCACTCATATATGGATTTTAGATATGGATCAGGATAGTGCCAGTCTGCACTTCCACAGATAGAGAGTCTGGGAAACAGGAAAGAACCTAAAAGATATGCATATATGCATAGTACCCAAGAGAAGAGGATGGAGACAAGATCCTCTGAATGGATGGGGAACACGGCGAGGGGAGGGGGGGGGAGTGGGACCTGGGAAGAATAGAGGGGGTAAAGAGGAAGGGAGTTGGTCATGGGGGAACAGAAAGTTGAGTGGGTGGGGGTAGAATAGGGGGAAGAGGGAATCATAGGATCGAAGACAGATCAGGCACCAGAGTGACCTCGAGTGATCTAAAGGGATAACACCAATTGGCAAGCTAAGCAATAGTGGAGGGACCACCTCGAATGCCCATTCCTGATAATGAACTTGATGTCTATAACCATCCGGGAGCCTTCATCCTGTGACTGATGGAAGCAGAGGCAAACACACAACTAATCACTGAACTGAACCCAAGGAACCCAGTGACAGAGAGGAGTCATGAGCAAATTGGCAAAGAATGGGCTGGCAAAACCAGCAGAGACAGCTGATCTGAACAGGGGAGAGCTCTTGGACCCCAGACTGACAGTGGGGAGGCCAGCATGGGACTGATCTGGACCCCCCCAAATGTGAGTGCCAGTGAGAAGGCCTGGGCAACCTATGGGGCCCTGAGCTGTGGATCAGTGTCTATCCCTGGTATACAAACTGTCTTCATGTGCCTATAGCACAAAGAGAGATGCTCTCTCAGCCTGGACTCTTAGGGGAGTGCCTTGACCCTACCAAGAGTAAAATGACAGACTCTAGATATCCCCTATGTGGAAGGATTTGGCAATAGGGTGGGAGGGGGGGAAGGGGAGTGCGGGAAGAGGGGAGGGAGAGGGAACTGGGATTGACATGTAAAACAAGCTATTTAAAATTAAAATAAAAAATGATAAAAAAATAACCGCAACAAAAATGTCCTGCCCTCCCCAAATTAAATGTACTAGAGCTACATTAAAGGTTAAAAATAAAAATCATTTCCACACACTCAAGCTAGAGAGACCTGGTTTAGAAATAGCTTTGGTATACAGAAGCCAGGTGGAATGAAGTAAGGATAGGTTGCAATGGCCAGAACAGAAACATGAGGCACAGGTGTTGTGTTTATTTTTGATACAGATAATTTTGCTTCAACCAGCCAGAGTCCCGTGGTTGCAAGAAACTTCTAGACTGAAGCAGAAAAGGAGCTGTGTTAGAAACCTATGTTCGGAGTTGCCAGGAGGCTGCAGGAGCAAATGGGGCATGGCAAGCACCCAGAGGACGCGGTAGCAGGGGTCAGGGGAGAAGTTAGGTAACAGACAGGTTTGGCAGAGCCTGAACATCCACTGCAACATCCAGTACCAGGGAAGCATTGTTTCCCTTAGGTCCAAAACTGTCTGGGCTGATACGAGCCAAAACCCACTGGTCAAAGTGGTCCATGTTTAGGACAGGTGTCTGTGTGAAACTAGTTTCTACTGAACCATATGACCAGGGACAGCTGTTCTCATCCACTCCATCCAAATTACAAACTGAAATCACAACTTGCAGAGAGTCTCCTGAGTTAGATAGGACAGTTCATTTACTTTTCAGGCACAAAGGACCAGAGGGGGTCTGAACTACAGTGGGGATCAGTCTTAAATGGAAGCTGGATTTTAATGTCAGCTTACATAGCAGAAACTAAGGCAGAGACTTGATATTTACCTCCCTAACCAATGTTTTCTTTCTTCTTCAACAGTACTAGAATCCAAGTGTAGTATGGATAATAACACACCCGGTTAAGGCTAATATTCCCCAGTCAATCTTAAACATACACATGAGCAAGGTCACATAAGTCACTGGATGCAGTTCCTACAAAAGCATTTTGAATGGGTCATGTTGGTCCTTCTTGTCTATAACGTGGACCATATTTGGCTATGAGTTAGCCTTGAATAATAAAATGTACTAACAATAATAGAACAAAAAGACAGGCATAGTTCCCTCTCTTTCTCTGTGTGTGTGTGTGTGTATGTGTGTGTGTGTGTGTGTGTGTGTGTGTGTGTGTTATGTATGCAGACAGGTGCATGTGTGTGTGCATGTGGATATCCTTAGTAGAGGTCAGTTTCTATTGTCCCCACCTTATTTTTTGAGGCAGGGTCTCTCACTAAACCTGGAGTTCCTTGACTGGCTACACTGGTAGACACATGTGCACCAGGGAATTTCCTGTCTCTGGCTCTACCTGTCTCCTGTTAGAGCATTATAGATACAAGTCGTTATTGGTTTTTATGTAGGTAGTGGAGATCCGAAGTCATGTCTTTACCTTTACACTGCAGTCACTTTATTCACTGAGCCATCTCCCTGGCTCCCATTTGAATTTTCTATTACATGCATCTAAAATTAAACTTTGGTCATTCCAAATAATGAAAAATACTTATATTTATCATCACACATGAAAACACTATGAAAGTCAGCATCTAGACATCCTATCAGGAAACACCATGGGGCTGGGACTGGAACTCAGTGATAGAGAGCTTGCCCAGCATGATTGTGACCCTAAATTTAAAACCAAAACCACCATACTATGTTTATTATGTGTGCAAGTGTGTATACATTGAATACATATTGTGTGTATATATATACATTTATACATATATACATATGCACTGAATATATATGTGAGTTTGTCTATGGTTAAACTATATCGCATGCTATACCCTATTAATATTATAGCTATTATATTAATTTTAAAATGCAAAGAGAAGGCAAAGCACAGTGGCTCATGCCTGTAATCC